ACTTTCACAGCGTTTATCGCTCTACTAGCAATCACCCTGGCTTTCTCCAGCGCATTCCGCAACACCTTCTCCTCCGCCTTCAACAAATCCGCCGTCCGAACAATGTCTACCGCCGCAGCTGTTCCCGCCGCGTCCAACATGAAGATCAACAAGCGGCCATGGTCTGCCAGAGGCCATGCCGACCACGACTGGCTCTTCTCCTACCACACCTTCTCCTTCGCCTCCTACTACGACCCACGTCACGAGTCCTTTGGCCCTCTGCGCGTCATCAACGAGGACCGAGTGAAGCCCGGCACCGGTTTCGGCACACACTCGCACGCCGAGTTCCTCATCTTCAGCTACATTGTCAACGGCACGCTCGAACACAAAGACAGCATGGGCAATCTCGAGAACCTGAAGCGCGGCGAGGTGCAGTTCACAAGCGCGGGCACCGGCATCAGGCATTCAGAGTACAACCGCAACAAGGACGACGAGGTGCATTTCCTCCAGATCTGGGCGAAGCCGAACAAGCGCGGCCTGAAGCCACACTACGAGACAAAGAAATTCTCTGATGAGGAGAAGACGGATAAGCTTGTCCGCATCATGGAGTCGACCGATCGTCTGAGCAAGTCAAAGGGCGCGATCGGTCTCCAGGCGGATCTCAGCATGGATGCGTCCATCCTCTCACCAGGAAAGAGCGTTACACATGACCTTGTCGCAGAAGGACCACGCAAAGTCTTCGCACAGGTCATCATGAGCAAGCGCGCACAACCAAAGGAAGGCGGCGCACAGATTAAGATCGGCGATGCCGTATTGGGTGAGGGCGATGGTGCATACATCAACGTCACTGGCCCAGGAAAGATCGATATTGAGAGCGTGGGCGCCAAGCCAGCAGAGTTCTTGTTGTTCGATATGGGTCCTGATGAGCAATAGATGTAGATACTTCGCGCTGACCCCTTTTTGTAGATATTAGCCAAAGTCAATAACAAACTTCTTCCAAACTTTTTCTTCCGTTTCATCTTCGATTAACTCCGCCCCGCATCGCCATTATTGTTCCTAATCCTCACTCTTTACGCCCGTTCACTTCCTCTCTTCATCGTCGTAGTCTTCTTCTCGTCTTCTTCTTCTCAACCACTTCCTCGCCCCTCTCATCCTCCGAGCTGATCTTCTCCTTGACCTTCAACGCAACCATCAGCAACACCGCGCCAGCAACAATATGTCGTTTCTTGACTGTCATCGGAACTGCCGTTCAATTCGGAGGATTTGATCGAATCGATTGGCCTGAATTTGCTTGGAACGACTGGCTTGAACTGCTTGGAAGAAACGAGAACCAATGCTGATGGATGGCTTGAGACAGACCGAGACAAGATTTCCGTTGCTGAAATGTATGCGGATCGGGCGTTTGATGAAGCAATGAGTTGGCGCAGCAATCAGAGGCGCATTCATTGGATGTTGAGGTGGAGATTGTTTGACGATGGGGACAAACGCGGTTGGTTTGCGGAAGATGAGGAAGATGACCTGAAGTGGATTGGGAACCTTTTCCTGTTGGTTCGAACAGAATTGTTCGTTGTTGGTGCTTGGTGCGTCGCAAATCTTAACACTCGGGGCTGGGAGTACTAGCCCATCCAAGATACCAACGAGGCGACCAAGACGAAAGTGCTTGTGCAAGATATCTGCATCAGGGAAATAGAGAACAGGCGAGGTGGGCTAGCTAAAACTTCCACCAACCATCGAATCTAAGTGTATCGCTGGTATGAAAGCAGGCATTCATGAATCAGTTTGCATATATCGATCACATGACCACTATGTCGTATACACATTCTAATCACCGAATACGCGTCTTTATCGGCATCTGCTCTGCCGCCCCAATAAATGTAGTATAGCAATCACTCACAATTCTCGTTCTCCCTCATTCCCCGGTTCATGTCCGTTCCCAATTCCCTCCGACCAATGTCCATATCCTCACCTCGCCGTCCCCGCACTCAAACCCTCTTCAGACGAGTCGGGATAGTCAACTAGCCTTACCTCTCCTGCCCGAGACTTTGCTGGAATTGGTGGCGTAACAGAAGGCGTCGGCGTCGGCACACTATACACCGAACTCGGCGCACCGCTGTGCAAGAGGTTGAGGGGTCGATTCGTACTTGGCGTGCAAGTGCTGCACATATCCTCATACCGCATGCCTGTACATGGTGTTGGAGCTTGTGGTCTTTGTAATTCCCTGCTTTCTTCACTGTTTCTGTCTCCTCCATTTGAGCGTCTGTGGTCAATTTCTCCAAGTCGATCGTGGTTTTCAATGTCATTTCTGTGTGAGGTTCGTGCTTGGATTCGGAGGACATGACTGCCTGCTAGGCCAGCTATAACGAGAAGAAGAACGAGCACGATCATGACAGTTGCGGTTGTTAGGGCGAGGACACTTGACAGTGACGGTAGTGGGCGGTCCATGGTGCGTAAATCTGATAAAGCGAGATGGGAAAGAGTTGAGGGTGTTGGAGATTTGGGTAGAAAAAAGATTTGGGGCGGAACATGGACGTTTGAGTGTGAACTGGCACATTGTTGACGTGGAGTTTCCGAAGGGCGACGCATTTGTGCTAAGATGGTCTAAAACTGTTTGTAGATTTATTGCGAGTATGTTGCGGATTGTGCCATCGAACCCAGAAAACAGAAAGTCCCCTCTAATTCTTTGCACACTTCCGCGGTGAAAGTGCGTACTTCGCCGCGCGAAAATATACAACACAGCGATAAACTTCACGACATGAACATGACGATGTTATTGAGTAAATAGAATGAGACAAGGTCAGTGATCGCTTCAATTTAGCCCTTTTCTTAGTCCAACATATCCAGCCTGTCGCAATAACCTGAAATTTCCGTCGTCCGGCAATCATAAGACGCCTATAATCCATCCAGACTGGCTTCACCACTCACCGCCGTGGCCGATATGGTTCCGCTACATACAAAAAGACAAGGTAATATACCAAAGGTATAGCGAGGAATAAGCCAACCAAGATGAGGATGAGATTGATGTCGTCCATATTCGCGATTGTACCGGAGTGTTTCTACAAGCCAGGACCTGTACAAAACAGTGGTGAAAGTAAGTGCAGCAATCGAGAGGAAGGATTTATATATCGTGCAGTTCATTGACATGCCGGCGATGTGATTGTCACAGCTCACCAGGCCGTCTATCAATTACCTAGTAGGAGAAAATCTACATACGTATGACATGGCGATAATTGAAGACCCATTTCCGTATTTCCGCGCACATAGCCGTTTATAAGGGCGCATCGCGCAAAATTGGGCCCTAATCATTGTGTCGCGCTGTATCCCGGTGGCCTTCCCTCCCCTGCCTGCCGTCGCGCGAGATAATACCTATTGCCACGTATCTCCAGCTTCGCATCCTCGTGTAGAGCAACATCACTCCCATGCTCTTCATACCTAGGCGCCACACTTGCTGCGCTAATAGGTCTCAAGTAAGGATGATGAGGCGGTTGAAGCTCCATATCTTGGTGCTGTCCTGCATTGTGCCGATGATCGGCTGGGACAGCGGGTTGACATCGTTGATCTTGGACACAATCGAAGATTTTATAGGTGATGTAGGTAAGGACGAAACCTAAGACGATGATGAACATGATCCAGAGGAACTTGTAGTTCTCCCAGGTGAGGTTCAGGGGTTGTCTAGCGGGAGGGTCGTCCATGTTTTGGCGAGTAGCATGCAATGGGAGCGTGGAAAGAGATGAAGGAGTAAGAGAGTCAAGTGAGAAGCAGTAAATTTGACGATTCTTTGGTACGTGTCATTAGAGAAACGACGTGATGGACGACGAGGTGGCTAGGCGAAGCTGACTCCAAACATCGTCTCAGCCTGACGTTCTAGCTTGTCCTTTGCGTGTCAACTATGATAGAAACTGGTTGCCACGCTGGTGTCATGTCGATTTCAGTTGTCCGGACCGTGTTGTCCATCGGAATCGTGGACAGGGTTCTTGTTGCTGCCATCGCGAACCTCGTCGGCGTACGGTTCAGACCTGACGAATTTGACTAGTATAGTAAGAATCTTAACAGTAATTTTTTTAAGGTGGGCAAATCCCTAGCTATGTGCGCTCAAAAAAGATAATGAGCGAGCGATAGTTGTTAGCCTGTTAACAGAAGAGCAAACTTGGCCGACGATGAATCAAAAACACGCTGCTTCTTGATGAAATGAAGGGAAGGAAAGAATGTCCATGGCAATCAGTCAATTCAGGACCTCTCTATGGACGTGTAGTATCGTTTACTTATGCCCAACGTTGTAAAACATCTTACGCGTCTACAATCTCATCAAACAGGAGATTCCCGTTGACGCGATCAGTACAATCAGCAAGTATTTCGCATCTGCGTATGGCGTGTGCTCGCAGATACCGTCACCCATCCAGTCCCCCGTACAGTTGCACAAGACAAAGGGCGGTTTGCCGTTAGCAGATACGTCCGGCATGAATGGAGTGCATGGTCGAATGTCAATTTTATCCATAGTCCTTGGAGGAACTGCAATTCCCGCATCGACTGATGTTTGTTTTTCTCTATTGCGCCGCTTCTGTCGCCAGCCCCGAACATATTCAACCAGGGATAGGACGCCGGTCATGTTGTTGCTTCTGCTGATGAACTTGAAGCGGTAGAGCACTTGGAGGGTACATTAACGAGCGTAAAACTCATACCTATACGTCTCAAGCTCCTGCAAACGGTAGACTGTAGTTGTCATCGTAGCGCTGTGTATTGCGTAGCTAGTCAGTAGAGAAGTTTGCATGCACTGCGTTTGCCAACCGGGCAAGAAAAAAAAACGACTGGGGCTAGCGCAACAACTTTGAGCTGGCATCTCCGGACTGTGGAGAGAAAGAAGAGCTAGGTAATCGAAGTGTGATACTTTTGCTAGCACAAAGATTTTTGCGCGTGGAAGCTCGGACCTCCGGCCACGCAAATTTACCAACACTGGCTGCACCAAGGGTGAATATTGACAACCAACCAGGATTAAAACAAAAAAGAACACACGAACTAGCAAAAAGCGACCGATGTGGGACTCGAACCCACAGCCTCAGCCTGTCTATCTAGAGCTTAAGCAATAGGAGGGCTGCGCGCTACCATTGCGCCAACCGGCCACGAAGTTGAATGATGACAATTCTCAATTTTAGTCAAAATATATCCATATTCAAATTTAAGGCAGCAGAGACGTACGAAGAGAATGGTCCGAATGCCTTACGTTTGTACGCCGATAATTTTCCGAAGCAAACTTTCCGTGACGCATCCGAAATGCGGGGCTGCGTACATCGGACAGAATCGGCTGCGGGCGAACGTGGAAGCAAACGATCAAGACAACGCTCAGGCGCCAAAGTATTGGAATCGACTTATCGCGAACATGACAACACACATAGGACGACGTATGACTTGTCATATCTGATATCTGTGAAGCTGTCTCGAGGATGGCAGCGAGTCACGATGCTTACGAGGCCGTTCAGAATTATGGCACCCTGACGTCTCAGATGGGACACTCCCGAATGCCCTCACGAGGTTTCATGTCTGCAGTACTACTTTGATAGCACACTGAAGGCCTCGAGGCTACTATAAGGAGACTCTCTTTACTCCTTCGGCAGCGTTCGCATCTATCTACGCTACCCGTAAATAAAGTTGCGGATGTGGTTGATCTGTTGTCCCACCGGGGAAGCCAAGATGTAGTAGTCAGCACTTTGCGCATGCTCTTTTGCTCGATACTAGTTTTAAATCTAAACCAGTACAACATAATCTGATACTGACCAGCCACTGCTTCAATCAGTGCTTAGCTAATGCTCTTTCTTGTCTCCAGTCTTTGGTGGCAAGCCATAATATGTACCAACAACTTGCTTTCATCCTAACGAAACGCCTCGCAGGATGTTCTTCGGCATTCTGATGGTAAAGGGGATCATCCAAATTATCTTCATAATAGATTGTTGATACCGAATAGAGCGTACTCCCTTATATACAAAGTAATGAGCGTTCGTATGTACATTCTCAAATGACTCGTCAAAGACTCTTCCCGCATTCGCATATACACCTCTCTGGCCGCCTTGGTTTTGCATTCATCTTGATGCTGGGTGTAGTTTGTTCAAGCATTGAAGTGTGCCTTTTCGGTTCCGACGGTTGCACTCTCCATGACCTCTTCATCGCTGTCCGCAAAAGCCTTGTCACCAAAGGCCACAGCAATCTCCTCGAGGCTGTGTCCTGCCGTTTCGACATAGTAGAAGTGACTCAGCCCGGCGGAAAAGAGACAGAAGCCCGCGATGACAAGGTAGAAGTAGCCGCCAATGCCAGCAAAGGCATCGGGAGAGACCATACCGATGATGAAGTTGAACTGTGTCTCGTTAGTACATGTTCATGACGTAAGCTTCAGAAATACTCACGATCCAGTTCGAGGTGGTGGCGAGCGCCATACCCTTGCTACGGCCACGGAGAGGGAAAATCTCAGCGGGAAGCAGCCACGGCATCGGTCCCCAAGTAAAACCGTACACGATGTTATAAAGCATAATGAATGCGTATTGACCGTTCGCGCGAGTGGTGATGGCCATGTCAGCCTCGGTAAAGGCGCACACAATGCCTAGGAGGATAGCCATCAAGACACCTCCGAGGAGCAGGAGTGGCTTGCGGCCCCAGCGATCGGCAAGCCACCAGGTCACGACAGTCGCGGCGGTGTATGGGATGGCGTTGGCGGCGGTATAGAGGAGAGACTTCTTCTCATCGAAGCCGGCGGAGGAAAGCGTACTTGGGAGGTAAAATGAGATGATGTTGATACCGTTAAGCTGGGCAAACATTTGTACGGTAATGCCGACGATGGTGCGCTTGCGATAGCGAGTAAACATCTCCTACAATCAAGTCAGTGATGCGTAGTGTGGGCGAGGATTCAATGGTATCTTACCTTCCAGCTCGATTTTTCAAGAGAAGCTTCGTACACGACTGCCTCCTGAATCTCGAGGAAGACCTGCTGCACATGTTCCGCGCTGGTGTCGCCGTTCGAGTGGAGATCGGCAACAGTCTGGAGCGATTCTTTCATGAAACCGTTCATCGCAAGCCATCGAGGCGTCTCCGGAAGGAAGAATGACATAGTAACGAGGAGGAAGGAGAGCAAGATCTGGATGATGAATGGGCCTTGCCAGGACATGGCATCCGGTAGCATGAAGTGAAAGCCGTAGTCGACCCAGCAAGACAGCATGTATCCGGCAATCAGACATGTGTACTCGATACCGACCATAAGACCTCTGGCATGTGGTGCGGCAATCTCAGTCTGAATGACAGGCACTGTCATGGAGAGGAAACCAACGCCGAGACCCTGGATAGTACGACCAGCGACAAAGGTTGCGAAACCAGGGGCAAAGATCTGGATAAAGGCGCTGAAGAAGTAGATCAAGCCTCCAAGTCGAACAGTGCGCTTTCGCCCAATGATGTCGCCAAGTCTTCCAGCAATGAGCGCCCCAATAGCTGCTGAGGCTTGCAAGCAGGCGACAGAGATACCGGTGATCGTAGGGCTCACGGCCGCGGTGCTGCCGTTTGCGCCGCCATAGTCGCTGAAGAATCGCTTCACGAAGACTGGATTCACAAGAAGCCCAGACATGATACCTGCGATTGTTAACAATATCGCAATACATGGACTGACTCGACTTACCAGAATTGTAACCAAAGAGAGCATCGCCCAATGAGCCGAAACCGCACGTTGCGTAGAGAAGTGCCGCTCCCTTGATGGGGTAACGCGCGGCGATCTTGCTGGGCTTCAACTTCTTCTCAATCCATGTTGACTCTCTCTCGACTTGAGCTGCGACTTGGTCGGCTCGCTGCCTGATGTTTGCATTCTGCACCGCAACTGAGTTAGACCGGGAAGCCATGATAGACAAAATGTTGCTGATGATTGTATTGTGCCAGAGACTGCGATGATGCACTGATGGTTGTGTGGATAGTAAACTGGGGACACAAAGGCTTTATCTACCCCAGATTCATCCCCATGGAGAAGACTTCGTTCCATGATGCGATCCAGACTCCAATGCTCTACGGTTCCGATCGCACTTGGCAAAATGAGCCTACGGGGTAATGGCACTAGCCGAAGCGATTGCCGGTGCTGCTCCGCGGCAGCCTTAGGGTTGAATGAAACGCCTCTGAGCAGGCTAAATCATGGAGGGAGGAAAACGCGAGTGCGAGCGCGAGCAGGCCGCCGGAAGTGCGTCACTGTGCGGATTTTTTAGAGACTAACAGACCGGAACCGTACTTGCAGTGGGGTATAATGGTTGTGTCATCCAATGGGAAGCGAGAGGTCTATGAGCCGCCGGAACCGATCCACCACAAGAGCAGGACCCTCCGGAACCGATCACGGCCACAACAGCACCCTCCGGCTCCTCCACTCGTTCACGGCTACCCCACAAATGCTCATATAGACCGTGGACTAAGATGAAGAAGAGCACACAAACTTCCATCGAGTCAATTATCAATTCTAGCAATGTCTGTCACAATTCAAGTCGAAGCTGTACCGATTCAGGTGCCAAGCAAACAGTCGAAAGCCGCCCTCTATACAGAACATGTCAACAAGTCTTTTGTGCTGAGTCCATCGAGACAGTTCTCATTTGAGAGCCGACCTGTACCCCAGCTGCAAACATCAAGGGATGTCCTGGTTAGAGTGATAGCGACGGGACTTTGTGGCTCAGATGTAAGTAGCAGCTGGTCCTCCTCGAGCAAGTCGCTGACAAGAGACATCGAACAGATCCATTACTGGCAACATGGCCGCATCGGGAAATATGTCGTCGAAGGTCCGATCGTCCTTGGCCATGAATCCGCGGGCATCGTCGAAGCATGCGGTGAAGATGTGAAGAGCCTTCGGGTTGGCGATCGTGTTGCTCTCGAGCCTGGTGTGGGCTGCAACACCTGCGAGACCTGCCGAAGTGGTCGCTACAATCTATGCGAATCGATGCAGTTCGCCGCGACGCCTCCATACGACGGTACGCTCTCGACTTTCTACTGCCTGCCCGAGGAAAACTGCTTCAAGCTTCCACCGCACATCTCATTCCGCGAAGGAGCACTGGTTGAACCCTTGAGCATTGCTGTACACTGTTGCAGGCTTGCCGGCAATCTCCAGGGCCGTACAGTAGCAGTATTCGGCGCAGGACCGATCGGGCTCTTGTGTTGTGCCGTGGCAAGGGCATTCGGTGCAGCCACAGTAGTTGTCGCAGACGTTGTAGACTCCCGGCTAGAATTTGCGACGAATTTTAGCGCCAGCCACACATATAAGATGCTCGCTAAGTCACCGGAAAGCAACGCACAAGGACTCTTGGGAATTGCCAACATTGCAGACGGGGCAGATGTTGTTATTGATGCCACGGGAGCAGAGCCATGCATTGAATGCGGTGTTGCTGCCCTGAAGCGTGGCGGAACATTCGTCCAGGCTGGTCTCGGTGCTCCAAAAATCTCTTTCCCAATCGGCCAAATATGCGACAAGGAAGCTACACTGAAAGGCAGTTTCCGATACGGGCCAGGCGACTATAAGCTTGCTATTGAACTGCTAAATTCGAGGCGAATCTGTTTGGAAGATCTCATAACCCATGAATATCGGTTCGAGGATGCCGAGAAAGCGTTCGTCAACGTAGCAGCCAAAACAGGGATTAAGACTATCATCCTCGGGCCAGGTGTGGACCAAATTCCGGATGAATCAGCTCAACAAGGACAAGTCGCTCGGCTTTGAATGCACTCGCTTCACAGAAAAAGGACCCCGGTATTATGAACGTCCATCGCCCCAAGCTGTGTCCCAGAACCAGTACAGACCATTACCTGTTATGTCCACGTTGGCGTCATCACTCCAGCCGAAATCAACGTCGCCAGTAATGCCTTGAAAAGCTGCTTCGGCCAATGCTCCATTGCCAACATCAAAGGGCTGGGTTTGAATATTATCGTGGTCATGATCCCCAGTATGCATCGGGAGTTCACTTGGTACTTCAGCTGTGAAAGGAAATACTATATTATTCCAGAAATATTAGCATTAATACAACAAGCTGTACGTATGTGTGGGACAATCTAACCTCGTTGTACGGAAGCAAGACTCTCATTCAAGCGCGAGGCTTTACTTGTAGTGTGGTGTGCTTGTTGATGGCGTTGG